CTCCCCAATCGTCGGGCTACTGGGAGACTCGGCCTCCCCCTCCCGGCGGCGCGGCCTATCCTGCGTCTCTATCCTGGTCAGCCGGCCCTCCAAGTCCGGCGCGTCGGCCGTGCCGCTGGCCGAGTGCAGGTCCAGGAAGAGCGGCAGGTACCTGGCAGGAAGGAGGCTCCTCCTCCGTCCTCCTCCTCCTCCTCCTCCTCCTCCTCCTCCTCCTTCTCCTCCTCCTCCTTCCTCCTCCTTGTCCTCACCTTTCTCCTGCCCTCCGCCTCCTCTTCCTCTCTCCTTCATCCTTCTCCAACTCCTCCTCACTCTCCTCCTCCTCCTCCTCCTCCTCCTCCTCCTCCTCCTCCTCCAAGGCGGAAGCGGGACCAGGAAGGAGTAGAGAAGGAGGAAGCCCGAACCTGGACTGGCCTGCCTCCGAAGAGGCAGGTCAAGACAAAAGGGTGGAACGCAAAGAGCGAGGGCGCCCTGCGGCCCCGCAAGCCTGAGCTGCCACGGCGGAGAAGGGAGGACGGAGGAAGAAGGGTTGAGGCAGGAAAGATGAGACGCAGGGAGAGGGGGAGCTTGAGTGAGAGGGGGAACCAGGGCCAGGAGGAGCGGGGAGGAAGAAGGGGGAGGTGGGATGACAAGCAGGAGGGAGGTGGACGAGTGAGAGGATGGTAACGGATGGGGCGGATGAGCATGAGCATGAGGAGGAAGAGACACGGGGAGAGATGAGCAGTGAGGGAGGAAGAGGGGGATGACGAGGAGAATGGATCAGGAGGAGGACGAAGGATGAGCGGGGGGGAATATAACCCCTGATTCTCCCTCGATCCCTCCGCAACTCCCTAGAACTCTCTCTCTCTCTCTCTAGAATTCGTGAAGACCGCAAGCTATTCAAACTCTACTCACCTCTCTTCCTCGCCCGAGAAGGGATGAAAACGACGCGGGGGGGCTAGGAGCATGAGATCCCCCGAGGCCCCACACAGCAGCAACAGGCATGCAACAGCCTCGAGCCCTCGAGCCTCCATCTTCGAGGAGGGGGAGGCCCCAAAGGCAGATATGGGTGGCCTTGCGCTCGGGCTCACCTCGAGGGGACCCAGACTCCCTCCTCGTCCTCGTCCTCGTCCTCGTCCTCCTCGTCCTCCTCCTCCTCCTCCATCCTCCTCCTCCTCCTCCTCCCCTTCCTCCTGCCCCTACTCCTCCTCCTCCTCCTCCTCCACCTCCTCCTCCTCCACCTCCTCCTCCTCCTCCTCCCGAACGACTCCCTGGGAACCCGTCTTCTGTACCGAGAAACTGTTGGACGGTCCCTAGACCCAGCCAAGGCCCCTGGATGCCCCAAAAAGCAAAACACCTTCCGTATTTTTTTTTTGTTGTCCGACGGCGCGAGGGGTGTCTGGGGAGGGGGGGAGGGGGGCGGAGGGGATAAGTGAGGGGGGAGGAGGAGTGAGGAGGGAAGGGCATGGGGGAGGAGAGGGAGGCAGTGAGGGGAGGGGAGGGGAAGGGAGAGGAGGGGAGAGGCGGGGGAGTGAGGAGGGAGGGAGGAGGGGAGGGGAGGGGAGGGAGGGGGAGTGAGGGAGGGAGGAGAGCGTGGCCTCAGGCACAGACAGGCCATCACGATGCCAACGACGGCGGCTTGCCGAGCCGAGCACACGGGCGCTCGCGTGCGAGAGGAGCGGGCGCGCGCCTGCGCCACGCCGGCGACGGCGGCAGGGGCAGGGGAGGGACGACGGCGAGGCTCGGAAGGCCACTCTGGCAGGCACCACTCCTGCGCTGCGTGGCCAGGGAGGGGAGGAGCGAGGGGAGGACCGCTCGCGGAGGGGGACCAGCCGAGGAAACGGCGGCCCTCCCTGTCGGCGCCCCTCCTTTCCGGGACTCCCGGGCGCTTCTCGTCGCCGCGGCGGACGGCGAGAAGGCCCAGCGGGTTGGTTTGGCACAGGTTTTGGGCACGGTCAGCGCGGCCCACACATTTCTTTGATCGATCGCCTTCCAGATGGCCCCAAGACGGGCCGAAAAGCCACCTAGATGGCCCGGATAGGTGCAGAAGTGCAGAAGCTGCTCCAAGAGAGCCCTATTCGGGGATGGACAGACCCCCCTTTAGCAAAACGTGGTTTCGTGAAATCGACCCGAGGCCCAAACCTGGCGGGCGCAAGACGGGAAAGTGACGGCCACGGCGCCCTCTCGAGCACCGAAAACGGACAATTCACTAATCGACGTGTCACTGTTGGGGGTCCTGTCCAGCCCCGACCTATAGAGGTCCCACCAACGGGCCCACCGAGAGGCCCCCCGAGCGGCCCCGAAGAGGCCTCTCGGAGGCAACCAGCACGCTCCACGCTGCCTCCCGAGAGCCAGCAAGGGACATCACGGCGCCCCAAGAAACACTTCAGAAGGGAGGGCAGCTCGTGTGGACATCTCGTCTGGATGAGCTGATGGCTGCACGCGAAGCGTGACGGATTTACCTTTTTGTTCCAGGTCTACGCATCGTAGTCATGAAGGGGCCCCTGGGACACACAAAGAAATACACACAAGTAAGAAATTCGACACCCCGCCCCGAGAGGCCCCCGAGAGCCCCCCAAGAGGCCCAAGGGGGCCCCAAGACGCCGCCAATGAGCCCCAAGAGACCCCCAAGAGGCCCCCAAGAGGCCCCTAGGAGGCCCCAAAGAGGCCCCCAAGAGGCTTCAAAGAGGCCCCATAGAGCGCTCGAGGGCCGGCGGAATGAGCGAAGCGATTAAATAAATACACACAAATCAAATAATTTCCAATAGTTTCCTATATTTTCTGGGTTTTTTTCTTCCCCCCCACTTCCCATATGTTCCAATAATTTTTGGGAAAACGACGATGAATTGTGTCTGTGTGTTTTTGTCCGCTCCTGAAGTCAGTCCATTGAAAACTGGCTCCCTGACTCCTCCCAGGGCCCACGCTGGCCAGTTCCTCGAGCTGGACCCGGCAGTGGCGACGAGCAGCCTCCAGGAGGCTCAACCAACCTCGCAGGAGGAGGGGGAGGAGAGGAAGCGTTACAGTCGGGGCGTTGACCGAAGCAACCCTAAACAAGGAACGAGGCCCCTCTTATCCATAAGTTATGCTTCGAATTCCGATCGAAGACCTGAGGGAAACCTAAGGCGAGCTGCAAAACAATTAAGGAACACTGAGCCCCTCCCAAACGAAAAGGATTCCTTCTTCAGCGCCCCGACTGTAGGTCGGGCTGTCCTGTCCCCCTACAGGCGGATCTGGGAGAACAAATTTAAAATAGCAAAAACAGTTTTACAAAGTACTCAGAAATTGAAGAATCGTCCCCAGACAATATTTGAACCGTTTTTGAACATTCCCCCTGTAGAGGGACAGGCCAGACTTAAAGGAAGCAGGATGGAGCAGGAGTAAGGCACGTCGAAGCGGTCATGCACTGGATGTGGAAGCGCTGGAGCTGCCTCTTGGCGACCAGCACCGAGGACAGCAGCGACTGGAAGCTCCTGCGTGGAGGTGTCGGCGGCGGCCGGCGGAGGCGAGCGGGCAAGGGAAAACGACTGCCGTCGGAGGATCTCATTCGACGTCTTCGGTCCGAACGCTTTTGTACGCTGTCGGCGGCCCCTCGTGATTCCTTGTGGCCCCGAGGTGCGTCCGGCTGCTGCGCCGAGGCCCAGGTTGGCGGAATGCAAATGGGGGGATAAGTTCAGATGGGGAGAGAGGCGCAACCGAGGTACAAATCGTACCTACGCCCCACGGAGAAGGTACAATTTGTACCGACGCCACGCAGACAAGGTACAAGTTGTACTTTTGACAACGTACGCGACATGTGCGAGGATGTTAACGGGGGGGAGAAGGTACAATTTGTACTTGCAACCCGCAGGGAAGGTACAAATTGTACCCCAACAAAACGGTACAGGATACTCATCCCCCCATGTCCTGATCCCCCCATCGCCATCCGGCCGACCAGGGGGGTACCCGAAGCGTCTCGGCCAGACCCCGGAGACCCGAGGCGTGACCCGAAAGGCAGACCTCTCTTCTCTCCCCCCTTCCCTCCAACTCCTGCTCCTCCTCCTCCTCCTCCTCCTCCTCCTCCTCTTCCTCCTCCTCCTCGTCTTTGTCCTTCTCCTCCTCCTCCTCCTCCTCCTCCTCCTCCTCTTCCTCCTCCTCCTCCCTTTCCTACCTTTCCTCCCTTCCTCCCTTTCCTCCATTTCCTCCCTCCCTTTCCTCCCTTTCCTCCCTTTCCTCTCCTCCTCCTCCTCCTCCTCCTCCTCCTCCTCCTCCTCCTCCTCCTCCCTCCTCCTCCTCCTCCTCCTCCCCCCCCCTTCCTCCGCCTCCTCCCTATCCTCCTCCTCTCCTCCTCCTCCTCCTCATCCTCCTCCTCCTCCTCCTCCTGCTCCTCCTCCTCCTCCTCCTCCTCTTCTTCCCCCCTTCCCTCCCCCCCGATCCCTGTCCCCCCTGCTCCTCCTCCGCCTCACTCTTCCTGCGAGGCGGGGATGTATCCACATCCACCGACCGGGAGCCGGCGTCCTGGTGCCCCAGTGGGCGGTGGCTGTGGATGTATATACCGCCCCCCGGGGACCCGAGTGTGTCCATGTCCAACGCCTGCCGAGGCTCCGAAAACTGACCCTCCAGACGGTGGTCATGTACAAATTCCCGCCTCGCATCTTCCCGCCCTCCCCCTTCCCCCTCCCTCCTCCTCCTCCTCTCCTCCTCCTCCTCCTCCTCCTCCCCCTCCTCCTCCTCCATCTCCTCCTCCATTTCATCCTCCTCTCTCCTCCTCTCCCCTCCCCCCTCCTTCCTCTCTACTCCTCCTCCTTCTCCCCCACCCCCTCCTCCCCTCCTCCTCCTCCTCCTCCTCCTCCTCCTCCTCCTCCTCCTCCTCCTCCTCCTCCTCCTCCTCCTCCTCCTCTCCTCCTCCTCCTCCTCCTCTCCCTCCTCCTCTCCTCCTCTCCTCCTCCTCCTCCTCCTCCTCCTCCTCTCTCCTCCCTCCTCCTCCTCCTCTCCCTCCTCCTCCTCCTCCTCCTCCTCCTCCTCCTCCTCCTCCTCCCCCTCCTCCTCTCCCTCCTCCTCCTCCTCCTCCTCCTCCTCCCCCTCCCTTCCTCCCCCGCCCCCTCGCTCGTCCATGCCCTCCTCGGCGGGAGGCTCCTGAGAGTCTCCGGGGGGCTGTCGAACCCCTCCAGGCGGGAGCCGTGGCCGGCCGAGTTCGTCGCCTTGTCCAGGTACGACTGCCTCCACGCTGCGAACGCGCTCTTGCCGTGCCAGCCGGCGACGGCCGTCTCCACGCCGATCTTCACGTCGAGCATTCGACACCTGAGCGACGAAGAGACATCCGTCTTACTAGAGGCCTCCTAGATGGGTCGGAGTAGATGGGGTCGGAGGATCGCGCCGCATCGCCGATACATCGGGGATGCATCGGCGATGCATCGGCGATGCATTGGCGATGCCCTGGCGATGCATCGTCGACGTGGGCGATCATCGGCGACGCCGGCGCGGAGAAAATCGGGCTCCGCATCGAGCCGCATCGGCGATGCAGCGGCGATGCGGCGCGATCCTCCGACACCATCTACTCCGACCCTATCTGGGAGGCTTAGACTTACGCGAGACGACACAGCGACCTTACGCGGGGGCTTGCGCGGGCCGCCGGCGCGGCACGCCACCTCGGAAACGGGGGCGCTTCCGCGCCTGCGCGCAGATGTCGGCGCAACGGAACCCGCTTCCTTCGTCGCTCACCCGGTGCTGGCAAGGCCAGAGCTTGATGCACCCGGGCCAGGAGGGACAACACGAGCTCCAGACCAGCCACCCAGACGAGCGACGTCGAGGCCCCAGCAAATCCGACAGGCGCGATCGGCCCCCTCGAATGGCGGGCGAACCAATGCGTACTAGAACCACGCGCGCGCTTCGCGCGCGCTTAGGTTCTAGCTAGGAGGCGAGCTTGAGTCAACGAAAGTCGCAGGGAAGGGGGCAGGGGGAAGAAGGCCAGAGAGCGCTGAAGGATACAAATACTGGAACCCTCTTGTGATTTTGTGGGGGGCCTCGTCCGGCCGCTCGCTGGGAGTTTGACGTAGCTTCTCGGGAGCCTCTGAACCTGTCGGGGGCCTCCTGGAAGCAGGTTCGAAGCATTTTGGGGGCCGATTTGGGGCTTCTCGGGGCCTCCTTTGGGCCTCTTGGGGGTCTCCTGGGGCCTCTTGAGGGGCCTCCTTGGGGCCTCCTGGCGGCCTCTTGGGGCGGAAGGCTCGAGCTTGCGGTTCGTGGTCCCCCTCTGGGCCCCCTCTTGGGCCCGTCTTGGGGCCCTCTTGGGCCATCTTGGGCGCCTCTTGGGCCGTCTTGGGGCCCTCTTGGGCTGTCCTGGGGCCCTCTTGGAAGCTTCTTGGGCCGTCTTGGGGCGGTCTTGGGCGCCTCTTGGGCCGTCCTGTAACGTCGGAAAGCCCAAAAGGCGACTTTGTGAAAAATGTACGCTTTACGAAGGGAATGGGCCAATTTTTGCGTCTAGGGGCCCTCTTGGGACGCATGTTGGAGGCTTCTTGGGGCGTCTTGGGGGCGTCCTTGGACGTCTGGAGGCCATCTTCAGCATCTTGGAGCCCTCTTGGAGGCCTCTTGGAAATTTCTTGGGCCGTCTTGGGCGCTTCTTGGGCCGTCTTGTCTGACCGGGGAGGCCTCTGGCAAGCCCCGACGAGCCTCCGGGGCCCCCGGGGCCCACATTTGTGGTCGAGGTCCCGGCCCCGGGCCCCCGGACCCGGTGCGCCGTTATATGTATAAGAGGATGTCGCACGAGTAAGCTTGGAATTTGGGGATCCGCGCAAGAAGCTAATCCACTCGCCCAAAATGTAGGCCTGTGCCTGTCCGACACAGCTGGGGAGCTGCGTGCACTCTCCCCCAAAAGGGGAGCCCATCGCATCGAAGACTCCTCGAGAGGGGCAGCCGACAGGCCCTCCACGGGAGGAAGGACCCCGGCTCCCCTAGTTGTGGCTGGTCCGACCTTGGAGCAGAGGAAGCACAAGGCATGGTTTCGATGGGGATCCAGCCGTGGCGACGAGGGCCAGGAGACTCAACTTGCCCCAGCAAAGCACCCCAGTAGCAGCAGAGGTGAAGACGCGGGCAGAGCACGGCCATGTGCACCTTGGTGCGCGTGTGTATACACCCTGCGAAATGCTTAAGAAATCATGGGTTAAGAAATTCATAGTCTCAGAACTTGAATAAAAACCTAACATTTCCATTACAATCTTAAGATTTACATTGGAACATTAAGAATAATCGAGACCCTGGCCGAAAACTTAAGTTTTCTTAAGCATCGCCTAAGGTGTATATATGTGCGTTGACAAAGGATGTTCTTCCAAGGCGCCCCCGCGTCGGACTTTCTGGTCTGAGCGGGCTCCTCCCTTCCCCTCCCTCGCGCCCCGCCCATTTCGCCTTGGAACCCCACTTCGCTCCCCGTGCACCCCACCGCTTGCGGACCGGCGCCTGACTGTCCTCGACTACTCGGCGCCCGCAGACTTACAACATTTACGCAAGATTTGGGCGCCCGAGTCATCCGGGGTAACCCGGGTCCGGGGTAACTCGGGTCTGGATTCCCGAAAAACGAACCCGAGTTATCCCTGACCCGAGTTACCCCTGATGATTCGGGGCTCTGAAAAATCGTGGCCGTCCCGAGCAAACACGTAGCCGGCACTGACCGGAGAGCACGATTCTGGAGCAGACGGCGCGAGGACGTCTCACGCGAGACAGCCGCCCGGGGCACGGCGCCCCGGGGCTCCCCGTGCTTCCCGCGGGTTCCCCTCCTGTGGTCTCTTGACCTCCCCGTGAACCCTCTCGGGTCGGGCGAAAGGGGGGGATAGCAAAGGGGGGGTGTGAGAATCAGCTCACGTGTAGCTGATTTTCCCGGCGCCTCCCGGCGCGGGGAGGCGGCCATGTATCGAGGAATGGCCCCCTCGGTGAGGCCGAAACCAGCTGCATGCAACAAATTTCGTAACCCCCCCTTTCCCAATCCCCCCCTTTCGCCCGGCCCGACCCTCCATCGGGGAAAATGGAAGGGGCCCTGGGACACACAATTGAATACACACAAATAAAAAAGATTCCCCATATGTTCACATATGTTCTGGGTTTTTGCCTTCCCCCCACCTCCCGCAGTTTCCCATATTTTCTGGGGGATCGACGAGATTCATTGTGTCTGTGTGTTTCTTCCCCTCCTGAAAAATGCTGAATGCGCTCAAAGGCCTCGAATTTCCCTCCCACATGGCGGCGTCAGCTTTCCATCCTCAGTCGCGTTTGGCTGCCCCCAGGGCACCGAGGAGGGCTAGGCCCGGCCCAACACGTGGAGCATCTCACAAACTTCCTTCCCTCAGGATGTGTCTCCTCCTAGCGAGTAACCTGGGGGCGAGGCTCGTCGGGCGCTGCTTGATAGGGGGGCACCGAGCGTGGGGGATGAAAAAAGGTGCACCTCGCGTGCGCCCTCGGGGACCCATCGGGCCCCCTCTTCTGCAACCCTCGAACTCCTCCCCAGTACCGCCCCTGAAGATTAGGTCGGGCATGTCCTCCCACAGACGGATGTTAGACCTGTCATCTCAAATCTGAATTACAACTCGTCTAAAAATGGCCCCCAGAGTATGATGTAGACTATGCTTGAATATTCCTCCTGTAGAGGGACACGCCCGACTTAACCTTACGAAACGCCCGAGCCCACCAGCGAGTCCTGCCGCCGGGAGTCGGCGGCAGCTGATATTGGGGGGGGCGGGCGACGTCTGCCACTGGATATGCGCCGCGTCTGCTGCGAGGACGGCAGCAAGCCGAGCCGGGAGAGGCTCGAAGTATACACCCTGCGAAATGCTCAAGAAATCATGGGTTAAGAAATTCATAGTCTCAGAAACTAAATAAAACCCAGAACTTCTATCACAAACTGGGGATTTACATCGAAAAGTCAAGAATAATCGAGACTCTGGACGAAAATTTAGGTTTTCTTAAGCATCGCCTGAGGTGTACACCAAGTCGCCTGGTCGGCCATGGTGGCTCGCTGCACAGATGCCCCAGCTTCCCGGGCTGCGGGGCGCTGGAGCGCATGTGACGCCGAACTCCTTCGCCGAATTAGGCACCGCTTCATGGGGGGGGGGGGGGGGGGCGAGAATCTATCGCCCCCCAGTGCGCGCCCCCCAACCGACTTCGTTGGCTCCTGGGCTAACCAGGCGATGTGGTGTAGAAGTACGCCGATCCCCTCGGGCTCGGGGTGCCGGCCGAGACCGCCCCAGAACCTGCCCAGTGAGCCGGGCGAGGCCCACCAGGACGGCCTCGGGGAGGGGGCTGTCCGAGAGCAGGCCGCACGACGAGGCCAGGACGAGGATAACATCGGGCGAGAGTGAATCGAGAATCTCTGAGATCTGGCCGCTTTGGAGGACGTCTTGGGCGCCGCGGCCTTCTCAACGCGCTCCGAAACGCTCTGAGGGCGTTCCAGAACGCTCTGGAACGGAGTCGTCCTCGTCGCGGCCTCGTCAGAGGCCAAGCCCGCCCACCTGGAGTAGCCGTCCCGACAGTTCCGGATCAACATGACCTGCATGTCCTTCGTCTCGGATCCGACCTGGCACGGAATCTGGCAGATGCCGCCGTATGCGGTCATCCATCTGAGCAGCGTCCACGCGTCCTTGCCACGCAAGGCCTTGGACTCCTCGTAGAAGACCACCTCGTCCCGGGCCCTGGAAAGGTCCTTCCCGATCCAGTAGTCCCGGCTTTGGTTGCCAACGCACTCCTTACACCTGACTTGAAACAACGTCATCATCCTCGTCCGCCGCATGCTGCTGCTGCTCTTCTTTCTCCTCTCCCCCTTCGTACTCCTCCTCCTCCTCCTCCTCCTCCTCCTCCTCCTCCTGAACGGCCGACTGGGCAGAACGGCATCCTCGTCTGCCGACTGCTGCTGGCCTTCCAGGAGCCGCAGCTGCTGGTCCTCCTCTCCCTCTTTCACTTCATGTTCCTCATCATCCCCTCTCTACGTTGTACGTTGTACCGGCTTCCACCGCACAGGCTGCAGCGTTCGCCGGACGAACTAAAAAACCAGCGCGGCGTGCAGCAGCGAGCCACCGCGCGAGCGGAGAGGCAAACGAAAGGTGCTGAAAAAGAACGAAAGGGGTGAACCGCAACGGGCGATTGGGGATCGATGCATTTCTCCCTGCGCCTCTCCCCCCCTCCCAACGTTGTCCTCGGAAGCGGAGAGGCCCGAGATAAGCGTCCAGAAAAGGATGGTACAATAACTTGGAGGAGGATTCTTCTCCTCCACCTCCTCCCGAGCACCTGACTTGGAAGAATGCGGCCGTGCCTCCGGACT